TTGTTTTAATAGATAAAAGGTCAAATATAAGTTTAAGCAAGTGTTCGAATAAGTTCTAATAAAGATATGATATATTAAAGTTTGTTTAAATATTCCTAAATTGTGGGATAAAGATGTCATGAAGACTCATCAAATCGGTCAATTATTTTTAAAAGTTATTTAACCAAATTCAAATAAATTTCAAAGATTATTAATATTATTCAAACATGATTTAATCATCATTATAATGATAAATATGGTTGGAAAATGGCTTTAATTTAAAACTAGCTAATAAACTGAAGTCTAAATGCTAAGGAGTTTAGGGATTAGATTATAAAGCCTATTTTATAATCCTAAAAGACAAATTAGAAAACATAACTAATATTCAAAGTTGATAAATAAAAAGAAATCATTACCACAAATTTTTGTCCAAAGTTGAAGATGCGCACTTTGCAATCACCAAAAATGGAGAACACGATGGGAGTATGAATGATCAAGATGCTCTTATGATCAAAATATTGCATAACTATAAGGATTCTGACTTTGTTTATTAAAAACATTTTTGTTCGGAAGGATTTTTTGGGCATGTGTCTCAAGAGATGAAACATAGGACATATTTCTCTAATTACAGACATTATATGGCATATAAAATCAAATATCAAACAAACAAGTATAAATTCAATAAAAAGTTATATTCAAATCTATAGCATGCTAAAATATTTAGGATGACAAAGGGAAGTTTAATGTGCTAGGGTTGCATAGAAATCTCATATAGATTGATAAGTTGAGCATAAGCCACACTAGACACGATATTTTTTACATGCAAAACTTGAGAAGTTAAAAAAAAAAAAGCTATAGCCCTACTTAAATATATTCCATTAGTCTAAGTCAAACATTATAAAGAGCTTTATTCTCCACAACTTGAGAAGACATTAATATAATATAATAAATATGAACCGTGAAAAATATCTTCTATAGTGGTAGTATCATCAAAAAATGGTGGGCTATAGCTTGTTTGGAAAGCAGAAATTATGGAAGACAAATGTCAGATACTGGTAGGCGTTAGACAATAGTCAATGAGGAACATTGAAATTCAAATGATGGACGGTGATTGTCTTTGTTATCCTTCTAACATGAGAATAGTCTAGGTGACCAAGATGATGAAATCAATGGCTAAAAAAGTTAGGCATTACTTGTTGATGTGAGTTGGACAGTGGTTGATGCAGAATGTCAGAAGTCATGAGACAGACAATGATTAACTTGGATATCAATGGTGGGAGACCAGATGTGTATTAGATATGCTAGTTGATGGACACCAAACATTGACAAGTGTCAGATAACGATCAATGGTGCATATGAAAAGCTAAGAAACAATCAAGGAGCATCTTGGACATTCTCTTGATAAAAGGGAAATCTAAGCAATGAGAAAAATGAGCATCAAATATAGATGACTAATTTATACATAACAAAGAGTGATTACCTTAAGCATTTATGCAATCTTGATTTATAATTTTATTTTAGAGAATTTTAAAATATTAATATTTGTATTATTATCATACATTAGTATTTTAAATGTCATGTAACATAGACTTTTAGTCCACAAAGTTAAGGTCAAATCAAATTTCCACTTCATCATGCCACCTCATCTAAAAGTCTACATTCCAAGCTATGTTAACATAAGAAGCCATTTATGAAAAAAAAAAGGCTAAAGAAAAGAGGGAAGGCTTCTTCTTCTAGCCATGAAGCTGCGTTCAACACATTCTATATAGAGAAATGAAAAGGCTCTTTCAAATTAAGTAACCATAATATCAATGGAAGAAAAATATTAAGGGACAAGTAAAGTAAAGTGAAATTAACAAGCTGAAGGGTGTGGAAGATGAAGAAACAAAGCATGATTCAACTCCTTGATTCATGAATATTCTCTTTGAAAATGTAATTAAAATGACTTATTCAAATTTCATCATGGTACATATATTTACTACATAGACCTATGTAATCCTCTAAAAGAATATGAATGAAATGTAGTTCGGTTAGGCTTGGTGATCTATTCTTAATAGAACATATGGTGATTTGATAATCTTTTATTAAAATATTACTACTGGAATCCTAATCTAAATGAATTTCTTCTTTTCTACCCTCTGTAATTTTGGTATCATACAAAATAATCCTAATTACATATTACGTGTAGCATGAATTTAGTGATTCTTCTTTTCATGATATTTCTTTGTTGAAAATTTTCTTATCTAGAATCTTAAAGCCTTAATCTTCACTACTTTCCAAAATTACTCATCCCTTTTCATATAAAAAGTTTTAAGTGGTTATCTTATTTATCTTATTGTTTGTTGTTGGTTATTTTCTATTATTTGACATTTATAGTTAGCAGTGCATGTGTCATTTCTACTAATCATTGCTTGTTTTTACTTTTGCATTGATATCATATCTTTTAAATATCAAATTAATTATATAAGATTGAATTGTTGAAAGGAAGGAGAGTAGATACAAGATAAGCAATAAATTTCTTGTACTTCTATACAACCTCTATTTATAATTTTATTTTAGATAATCAGCTTAGGTTTCATTTGGGATGATTTTTTTTACAAATGTCAATGTGGTACAATATCAAATATCAAATGTCAATGTGGTACAATGTCAAATATCAATCGATGGTAAGCGGCTGACAATAAAAATATAAGGTATTAATATCAATTGATGATTGAAGCTGAATTGTGTCAACACAATGGGCATTCAAAACAATGGGCATTGATGTCAATCAAAGATTGATATTGAGTAGTTCGACACTGGGTAATGACATGACGGGCATCAATATTAATCAATGGCTACATAAGGTGTGGTATATAAAACTCTAAAATTCTCTAAGTTTCAAAATTTTCTCGAGCAAAATTCTTCCTAGATATGTATAGAATATGACTTATTTATAAATTTATTTAGGGAGCATTTTAGTCATTGTGGCCAAAAAATCTTGAACACTTCATTTGATTGTCAATCTTGCATATTTAGGACATTTCAATGTATTAATAAACATAGAATTGAGCAGCTTAGGCTTTGTTTAGGATGTGTTTTTTATTGATTTTTAATGCAACTTTTTAGTAGAAAATTTTTTATTTTTATACTAGAAAGATGTTTTAAAAAATAAAAAGAAAGTCGTCCCAAACGAAGCCTTAGACTCATTAGATTTATTTTGATAACATGCTTATTTGAGCTATAAATGTAAAATTTGGAGGACATTTAAATTCTCAAATAATTTTAAAAAAATCTCTAATTATGCTTTTGAGTGCATGATTTTAGCTACATTTAGATTGTGATCCAAATATTGTTAGTATTGTTGGATTGATCTCATGAAACTACATACTCTACTATAAATTTACTAAAAATAGAGTTTATATGCTATAAAAATTACCTTTTTTATATTTTTTTCAGCAATATTTGGAAGATTTGAGATTCAAAAATTGTGTCAAAATATGCTCATCATCTATTGAATTTTCTAATAATGTATTATTTGCCCCATATTTTGTAGACATCAAAACTTATGAGTTAAAAAATTGTTAGTCTAAAAAAAAAATTAGTACCTAAAATCACAATTTCAGAAGAATTTCGTGGTGCAATCACTCCATATAAGCAACGAAGAGCTCCCAATTGAGCCATGAACTAATTAAATTTCCATCAATCATAATTTCACTCTTTTGTGGAGTTGATATATTAATTTTGGATAAAATTACCACAAAATTTGGTTCAAATTTCCTCCAAATTATTCAAAATTATCTCTAAAGACTTCGTTTGTTCCTAATTGATAAAATAAGTCCAAAATATTTAAAGAAAAAATAAAAGATATCAAGATGTCTTCAAACTCTTGAAAAGATCTATTTAACCCAAAAACCATCAATTCTGGGTTCAAATCCCCTCTACTACAGTCTCACCTCTTCAGTGGGGGAAAGCAAGTGTGGGCCCAATGCCGGTGGGTGGCTTTCTAGGTTCCCCTGATGAATTAGTTACACCACAAAGCGCTCCTTTTGGAATGACAGCAGGTAGATACCCTGTTCTCAGGAAATTTTTTTTTTTCATTTTTTTGTTTTTTAAAATTTATTATGCAATACTATGTCATCCATAGATGTTAATTGTTGATATATATTGGCATTTTTAAAATAAAATTTCAATTGCATTTTGTTCAGATCATTGAACATCCGGCAATATAATTGATAGGGAATATTAAAATAAAAGATTAATAAGAATCATCTCTGATCACTCTACATAATACTAAAGTATTTAAGAATCTAACTCTGAACCAAACACCATTCTACTTATCTACATAATATTATTGTTCAGAGATATTCAACCAAACGGATCATATATATATACTATCATAACAAGGTCAAGGAAAGTTATATTTAACCACTTCCAAATAATTCTATCTGCATAAAGCTTCGTTCGGAACAACTTTCTTATTATTATTTTAATTGAAATAATTTAATCAAAACTTACTAACTCTACAGCTGCATTTCATCTTTCTGAGTTTTAATTGTTGCATGAATCTCAATTCTAATGATGCTTTTGCATCATATTTTATTGGCATCTCTTAGGCTTCATTTCATCGGACGGCTTTCTTCCTGCTTCTTAAAGCGAATTTTTTAGTAAAAAATTAAAATTTATGTACTAAAAAGCCGCTTTAAGAAGCAGAAAGAAAGTCATCCCAAACGAAGCCTTAACAACAACAACAATAATATCAAGTCTATATCCCAATACGCGAGATTGGTCCTTTTGGCATCTCTCATCATAACAAAATCAGTAATTTGCTTTTGAACACTTGTTGGAAAAAGGATTCAGTACAGATTCTCTCCATTCTGTAAACTGATATAATACATAACTATAACAAAGTAGCAAGTTCCTTCAGAGAACTGAATAAATTTTTCATTTGCAGAAACCATGGCCCTAAGTGTGAACAGAAAATGGGTGGCAAAAGCATGGATCTAACAAACAGCACCTAAACCCAAAACAACATTGAAATCTACAGGATCAACAGATTTCTTTGAGCATCACATTATTTATAACCAGTTCACTTATTGAGAAATACCAGACTTACTGGGAGAGCATAACGTTTTGAAGCAAGAAAGGAGATGCACGTTCTTCAAATTAGGCATAAAATAAAGGTCAAAGGAAACCTTCATGAAGATGAACGAAACAGGAGTCCAGGGAATTATTATGATCTGAACATTCCCACAATTCCAGGACTCATGAATTTTGCCAATGTAAACTATTGTATGATAGGGATAACACAGTGATGTACTTGAGATTCCCCATCTTTATGTTACAATATGGAATAGAATCTTCACACAATAATTAGGCTTTGTTTGGGGCAGCTTCTTTGCTACTTTATTCTTTTTAGTATAAAATTTTCTAATTCAAGAAAATTTGAACTAAAAAGTTGTTTTAGAAAGCCGCAAAGAAGCTGTCCCAAACGAAGCCTTAATCGGAAGGAGAGTTTTCAGCAAATTTAAATTATTGAGTGAAACATGAACCTGCACCAATTGGAGGCTGACGAGCATACAGATTGGTGACCGGGGCAGCTGGGACTCCACGGTAGTTCAGCAAGCATCTGAAATGTTGAAGCCGAGGTAGAACACTCGCATTCAAATTTTCTGAACTAGTGGCCTCCCTTGGACTCCACAAACGTTCTGAAGAAAATTTGCACAATCATATTCAGAACAAAATGTCCTCTAGTTGTAGATAAATTTGCAGAATCAATACTAGACAGATGCAAAGGTAAATTTTGAAAAACAAATACCTGCAGCTGCAGCTGCGCGGGGCCAGATTGTTTGAAGAACATCAGATGTATCAGCTGTCTCTCCCCACATACAAACCTCTCCACCTAAAACAAGCTTTTGCTGTAAGGTATCATTAATTCCATCTAATGGTTCATTGGTATAGAATTTCTCCCATGGAACATCTAGATGATCCAGATACCACACCCCTTGATTGCTTACAATACATCTAAAACCATTTGCAACAACTTTTGGACAAACTCCAGGTCCTAACCTGTCAAGATCACCATCCAATAGAACCATCATATATGTGAAAAGAACATTTCATATAATTATGATGGAGTGAAAAGTAGGAGTTCATCATCTAAACTGACCAGTTATGCACCACAGTCCGGGGATTGAGGCTCTTGTTAAACGAGTTAAATGTTTCTTCCCTGAAGATTGTGGCAAAAGTACATTTCAGGCCCCATCAGCTGTTTATTTTATTAAGCGTTCGTTTGGGACAGCTTTCTTATTGCTTCTTAAAATAGTTTTCTAGTACAAAAAATTAATTTTTGTGATTTTTGTACTAGAAAATTGCATTAAGAAGCAGTAAAAAAGCTGTCCCAAATGAATCCTAAATCTGTAACCGCAAACCTTGCACTGAAAAGAAACATCGTACCAGTTGACAGGGATCCAGTTATGAGATAATGCAATTTCTTGAGCTCTCAATACAAAGTACTGGTAGGCATCATTTGTTGTCATGTTTCGTTGTTCAAGCCTGCACAAATAGTAGCCTAATGTAAAACTTGAAGCCTAATCACACCTCTTTGTCAATAAAAAATATAATATGAGAATACAGCATCTTATTAGCTAATTCCAACTAAAATTCAATTAAGATATTTTAAACTAAAATTTAATTAAAATACTAAAATTCAAATAAAATACATTTGACGCCACATGAAACACTCACCTGGGTTGAATAGAAAATGAGAATTCGTAAAGCCAATACCAAATAATTGGGATAAGACTACTGATGATAATGATTATGATGATAATATTAACAGAAATCTTCATGAAAGTGCTTGATAGGGACAAGAAGAACATGGCATCTTTTGAAGTCTGCTTACCAAATTTGGAGCTAAAAGTGACATTGGATGTAAAGGAGGGAAGTCTTGTGCAGTTAACTTTCACGTGTTCTAAAACCAGAAGTAGGAGCTAGGATGTTTAAACTGCTAGGGGTACCAAAGTAAAAACGAGAACACTACATTTATTGGCAAAAGAGAAAAAATGGCAGAACCTAATTATATATATCAACATGTAAGCATTAACTGTATATAAGCATGACATTGTTGGAACAAAAAGTTCCAATTATAAAATAATACAAGCAATTAAAGAAGAGATTCATGTAGTAAATAGTTCCATACCAGTCCTTCACATGCGGAGTAGATAACCAGCAATCTGCAAAACAGTGACCAATAAAATCAAGTGCTGCCGTGCTAATCTCCAACAAAAAAAATTTGTAAAAACTAAAAGGAACATAAAAAAATTATCAGCAGCAGCACTCAGTGGAAGGGCTGTTAACATGCACAAACAAAGAACCGGATATTGTCCCTGCTTTAAAACAAGGAGGGAAATCATATGAAGGTGGAAAACCTAAATTGGTTAGGTCAAACCAATGGCTAAGAACACAAGTAGGATTTGGAGATTAAAGATAAACATTAATAGCAATGCTTTGGGTTCCAAAAGAATCTCTGCCAACTGTCCTAGAAGCAAAATGGCAATTTTAATAGTAAACCTTACAAATGTGCCAACAGTGACTAAGAATTTTTGGAAGTCTTTATAGAGTTTTTTATCATTTGGGGATTTATGTCTAGAATTGCCAAATATAAATTGTGAAGCATATCAAGAAAAGGGTGTGTATCACTCTTAGCAGGTTCTCTATGATGCCAGGACAGAAAAGTCCAAATTCTTAAAAGTAATATTAACCTAGTCGTAACTGTTTGACTTTGTGGATCATTCTTTCATAACTGCCCCAGATGTTAAATTTAGCATAAATAAATTTTTAAAGTGAGCAAACTTCGATGGCCTTCTTATTTTTTTTTTTTAAAACAATAAATTATCTTAAGCAAAAAGGATGCCATGGCTAGACCGTAGTGGAAACTGCTCGCATGACATCAAGAACCATAGAACCATAGCTGCTCGAGTACCAATTCCCACACTGGCCGTAGATGCCACCGCAGGATCTAGTTGTACTTTACACGTTTTGTAATGACAACATAACCACAAAACTAACCTTCATGAACTTCATCACCACCTAGGTGAAATAGCTCAAATGGGAAAATTTTTCTCAAATCTGCAACCAAGAAAAAAAAATCATATTAGTGTTAATTTTCTCATACAAGAAGCATGAAATCTATAAAAAAGAAAAAGCATTACATGGAAACCCCAAAAAACACAATAAAAAGTGTTGATATTCGACCTCTAAAACCAATTATGACGTGCAGCAAAGGAAATTATTAGCTCTCTTTTTCATTTTAATATCTTATCATTTATTAGCTCTCTTTTTCATTTTCATATCTTATCTTATTGTATAATACACATGTCATAGAAGCATTGTCTATATTTGTACCATTAAAGACAAATTCATCTCAATATTCTTTTCCCAATCTAACCCCTGAGGATAGGTAATCATTTTTCATCTTTTTTTTTTTCTCACGAGTTTGTGGGCTCCGAAAATTCACTCCCCGGCCTTCCCTCTGCTTCGGGGAGTTTTAACGTATTAGGTTTTGAGGTAAATTTTCAGAAGGCATATTGGATTTGAAATAAGACATTACCTAGAGATTTCGCCCTAATTTTGTGAGGACTTTTATGATTTGAGTTCTATTTTCCTATAGGCGCAAGCCCTTATAGTTAATTACCTCTCCCGATAACAAGAGAGAACTTTTGATTAAGTCTAGTCGTCAATCAGATATGTAGAGATATATGTATATGCCATATATTAGCATCATGGGTTTAAATGTTTGAAAGTTTAATATTTAAAATTAGGAGTTTCACCATCATACACTTAATGCAGATGGTGGGGGAATGGACGATGAAACCGATCAAGATCCCATGGTTCCATCATCCTGGGTCATCATGGTCCCTAGTCTACTTAGTCAGAGGAGTTAGTCGACCCAACCTGACAGAATGATCCTTATCGTCAACCATGGGTTGCGTCATCCAAGGGACAAATTTAAATTCACCTTAGCTAACAGCGGGCTTTGTGTCCTATCAATCATATCTTATTGATTCACATCTCAAGGATTTAGTATCATTGGGGAGCATATAGGCTCTGGCCATGACCATAATTTAGATGTGTCATTTGGTGGGAAATCACCTGGTTCAGAGGCCTCAATCATAACCGTTTACTTGTGATTGCATTTGGCGGCAAAACTGTCAGTTAGAGGACGTGTGCCACGTCCTTGCTGGCAAAAGAATGTTTGAGAATGAATCCTAGAAATATTCTCAACCAGACATTAGCTCTTTATGAGCTGAAGTGATATATAAATGTGTACACCTCGATAAATTATTGCAGATGATGGATGAGTTTTGCTTTAAATGGTTGATAATTGAATTTAAATTTTAAATATTTGGATTTTGAGATTTTGAATTTTGTGGGTATTTGTGAGGCAATTTGAATATTTGAAAATAATCCATTCGGTTGAGACCTACGTTCAACACGGTCATCATCTGAGTGACTTATAGGCAATTCCATCTGTTAGTTAGGCATTGTCGACCCTATACGACTGTCCAATTGTCGACAGAGGATCGGGTCCGTTGTTGAAGTTATGTTTTATAAGTGAATTTTCCTTCTTATAAGCCTTGAAGACCTAATATGAATGTATAAAATAAATATCTCAGTCAATGGCATGACCGTATACTTGTTTAATTGTTCGAGCCACGTCGACTCCTATCTATTCACATAGAATGATCGAACTCGAACTTAAATTTATTTCTTAACCCATGCAACATCCTCAGACATCACATTTGTACCCTTAACACGTACGCCGGGGCCCATGCAGGTATTTATGGGGTATTTTTGTAATTATATATTGAACCTTGTCAACTATGTCTAGATGTTGATAGAAGATCAGGTTCATTGTCGGATTTATACCTTTAATGGTGAATTTTTCTTGGTTATCAAACTTGAAGGACTAATATGAATGTATAAAATAAATATCTCGGTCAATCTCACGACCATAGATTTATTTGATAGTTCGAGCCGTGTAGACTCCTATCCATTCACGTAGAAGGATCAGGCTCGAACTTAGGTTCATTCCTTGATCCGCGCAGCATTCTCCGATGTCACATGTATACTTACAGTACGCTCACCGGGGCCCATACGGATGTACAATTGCACACACATTCCTTTATGTTTGTGTGTATACATATTATACTATACGTGTGGGGGCATCCTTAGACGTACTATGGGTCTTCTACGGCAACTCGTAGAAGCTTGTGTTTGTCGTAGCCTTATTGTATTTGCCCATATGTGACATGTTGAGTGCACGACAGGTCTTCTATAGCAGCCCGTATAAGTTTATATTTGTTGCAGTTCTTCCTACGTTTACAGCAACTCATAGGCATGTTATGGCGCATGTGACAAATCTTCCGCTACTACTAGCAACCACTTGTATTCACCACGCTCTTTTATTCATGCATCTATTTGTAAGCTTATGTTGCCTACTGGTTGAGCTGCATTTGTCACCAATCTCTCTATACATGTTGATTAGTATCGACTACAAATGAGTCATGTTCACTATAATTTGCTCAAGCATATTTTATTGGCGAGTTACCTCTTCTTCACATGTAACCCATCACATTTACTAATGACCCTTTCGTCGGTGCTTTCAAGCTTCTCTACGTAGACTTATGGATATTACAAGTTCTATGTTGTTGATGCCATGCTTTAGTGGATCGGCGCATTCGTCGTGCACTTTTCTGATAAATTAATGTATTCATCGTAATTATTTGTAGGATTGATATGGATGCCTCTATCATTGGTATGCAATGTAGCGTTTGCTAGAGTATTCCAGTGCATCTACTCAAAACTAGATTACACATCCTTGTTAATTATCATTGCTAATTATTTGCATTTCAACTAGCAATGATTCCATTTAATATCCATTGGACGTCTTACATCATTGCTTGTAAGAAATTTAAGTATGCTTGTTTGTATCTTGATATTGCCTGACAGCTAAATCGCATTCGTCAACAATCTCTTAATGCTTGCGAATTGGCGAGTTGCTACATGCTGATTGTTGTTGCTTGCAAATGATACATTATTGCATTCGCTGCATATCAACTTCCTTCGCTTGCTGTGAACTTGTGCAGTTGCTAAATACTTGACAGGTAAGGGCGTCTTCTCAATCATTGCATAGTCATTGTCATCATTTGCAAGAGCTTAGTGTGCTTGTACGTATCTAAGTGACATCGTCTATTTGTAGACTACAACATTTGTTGCATGTCTTCCATATTCTACCTGTAAGCATATCACTATGCATTCTCCTGCTTCCACTCATACGCAGCTCATTGTATGCATTACAGGTCCCTTATCGCTTATCGTCAATTGCACATTAATTGATGTAGTCACCCCATTCATTGAAAGCTTATGCTATTACTTATGAACAAGTCAATGATTCAAATCTATTAAAATTTTAGCATAAGTTCCACATTCCTTTATTGATTTTCATCTAGGTAATTGGGGCCATTAAATTGCATTTGCATTTAATTAGGCATTTATTATTCTGCAAATTACAATTTCACTTATGCTGCTACTATATGCCGGATATCATGTATCTACGGGTATGACGTATTCATCGACGCTAGCTTTAATCGAAAGTTCTCATAGTGGTCGTTCACCCTACCCCCTGCAAATTACAATTTCACTTATGCTGCTACTATATGCCGGATATCACGTATCTACGGGAATGACGTATTCATCGATGCTAGCCTTAATCGAAAGTTCTCTCTCGTGATCGAGAGGTGTAATTAACTATAGGGGATTCCGCCTATAGGAAACGACAACTCAGATCATAAAGTCCTCACAATATGAGGGCGAAATCTCAGGGTGTGCCTTATCTACAATCCCAATCTGACTTCTAAAAATTTACCCGGAAAATTAGTCCATTAAAACTCCCCCCTACCAAGCAAAAAAGAAAGCAAAAATGCGGCGGAGGGGACGTCGGGGCTCGAATTTTCAGAGCCCACATCGGCCAAACGAAATTTGGGCTTCTCCTCCAATATTCAAACCTCTCCTCCAATATTCGCTTAACCCCTCTACTTCATAGGAGGCGAGGTAAGTGGCATGCATGACCCATTCATTTCATTCCACTATCTCTCTGCCAAAATCTTCCTTTTCTAATGATTTTTTTTTTCCTTCTGAATATAATTTCCTGTGAATTTAAAAAGATTCATTCAATCAAGTATTCCATGGCAATGCTTCCAGCGGTTAGGAAAGAAAATGAGACAATAAATAAGTGTTATTCAGCTATTTATATAGAACAATGAAAATTGAACATTTACCTGTCAAAATTCCAGAAATAACATCGAATGTATACTCCTTCGTGAAATCAAGGGGCTCTGTACAGTTAGGAGAAGGCCATAGATCAGGATAACCAACACCCCTGCGAACATGCAATTAGAAAATGAAAAAAAAAAAGTGCAGGATTCAAAGCATAAATTTTCATAAACCAAGTAACCAACGGTCCAACACCCTTGATTTACTGCATATTGGACCGTCCAGTTAAAAGTATAAATTTTCACCGCTAAACTACCAAAAATAGACATAAGCTTGATTAACTTTAGAACATATAAGGTCATCGTCAAATTTATCTTTTTTATGTAAAAAATTAATATCTTAAAGCCTATCAAACTTATTATTGCAACTTTTAATCAGATTAATGCAATTCTTATTGTGCACACTGCATAACACGTTTCATTTATCTTAACAACATCATCGGCCTAGAATGGGATATCATAACCTATTCTTAATCTGAAGATGACAAGTTGAAGATGACATACCATGACACAGTATGACCAGGGACATCGACTTCAGCCATTACATGAATTCCTGAAAGAGTATATGTCAAGCAATTATTCACATTTTATCACTAACCCGCAACAAAGAGACAATTGATAATCAATCAACTTTCAACAATATGTACACCAAGAAAAAGTTTATAGCGCTTGGAGGTATTTAAGTGGAAACTAAAAAGCAATATCATAGAGTGTTAAATTTCTCTTTTATGTAGAAATGATACATCGAAGCATACCTCTTCTTTTTGCAAAACTTTTTGTTCATGACAAATGCGCATCAGACCGAGAACCAGAAAAGAAAGAAAATTAGAAAAGATCAGCTAGAGAAAATACACGCCTAGGTGAAATGAAAACAACAACAACAAAACATAAATAATTGACCGGATGTTGGTAAATATGCATGAATGATAATTTCACAAATAAGGGCAACTTGACATCCAGAGATCACGCATAACGGAGTACCTGCACAACTAAACTTATAAAATGGAGCTACCGCTAACAAAAAATACAAATGTAAAATATAATAATACATAAGAATAGCTTACTTGTTTTGTTAAAACATTTCTGAGTTTATTCCTCATTAAAGGCCCATCAATAAGAAACTAACTTTCTCTAAGTTTATATTCCATTACAACGGCAATAAAATGACCACCCATCAATAGTTATTAATTTGACTGTAAAACAGTACATTATACCACGCAGATTAAAAATGTTTTATTTAATTGAGCAAAAGTTTGAAAAAAGCAAACTAGGCGTAGATCGTATTATTATTCCTAGTCATATAATTAAGACCGTTCCAGCCATTGTAACAATAATCTGAGTATAATTTAGTATTTCATGTAATAAAAAATGCTCTATCCTTAGGCTAGATTCTAAAAAAGACGCTTTCTTAAACCACTCCATTCTTGATGAACAATAAATTGCAAATCAACCAAGTTCGGATGCATCCAACAAAAGATTAACAATTAATTAGCTTAACCTTACTAACAGTCTCCATATACATGCCCATGTTCTGAATTTAAAAGGTGGAAAGATGTACATCCAACCAAAATGAAGCAATTCCAAATAATATAAACCAACCTATTACTAAGGAATCAACTTCCAGAGAATCCTACCTCCATGTCATCATTACTATGTAGATTACAATAGAAATACCACGTGGCATTCAACCACTAGGCGGTCAAGTTTTTAGGCTTGGTAAAATACAATCAAGATGTAAATTTTAAATTACAAATGATTTATGGTTTATTAAGTGTCGTGATGCCTTCAAATTCAAACGATTACTTGAATGATGGTATAAGAAGTATATCAAAACTTTCAAATTCCAAAGTAAAAAATCATAGCTTAAAGATACCGGGACAACAAATGCATTTATCAACAATAATGGTTTGTTAATTTACACCACAGATCGGCAATATAGAAAAAACATTCTAAGAACTTAATTCAACATATTCAGATACTTCTGAGCAATTTTATGCATCTTTTTAATGGTAAAGTAGAATGTGAGAAGCAATAACGTCGTGGATGTTAATTTAAAAAAAAATGGCATACTCAACAATTTCATAAGCATCCTCAACCGTGTATCTCTCCCACTTCGTATACGAACCCTCCCACAAATTTGGATAAGTGGGTATCTCTAAAGGAAAAGACTCTTCATCTATGATGTGCCAATGAAGAACATTCTACTGAACAAGAAAAACAGAAATTAAAAAATAATTGGTTATAAATAATCTAGAGCACAAAGAACAACTTGGTTTTCAAAAAGAGAACTACTTACAAGTTTAGCATATGACATAGATTCAATTACTTGCTTGATGATGTTTACTGGCAGGAAATGTCTCGCGCTGTCTGGAAATGATAAATACATAGTGCATATATATGTATTTCCGTTATTAAACCGTAGACATAAACAAAACAAAAGTTTGAGCTTGCACTATTTCCCTACCAAGAAGCAGCCCGCGGAAGGAAAATCGGGGTTCATCATGAATGTACCATGGGGCCTTGTTCACTTCTACAGTTTTTGTTTTGTAATTATAGGTACACAATTGGCTCAAAGTCTGGAATTTACAGAGATCATTTGAGAAACAATTTCACAGATTTTACTTCATCGGCAAACAAAACTTGCTAAAAAGGAGACTATATAAATAAAAGTAAAGGGCAATGCATCCACCCTCCCTGAAATTTCCTCAAGCCGATAAAGCACCTATAAATACCCCATTATTGGTGTTAAAGAACAATCAAATTAGGAGGGTTTGACGGGAGTGCTAGATAAGGAAAATATGAGGCCACAAATTCATTGCTTATAAATAAATATCTCTCCCATCTTCATATCAAAAAAGGAAGGAAAAGGCCCATGGATTCTCCCTTGGCATCAATCATAACCCTTAAATTGATCAAAGGACAAGCGGAAAACTACTAGTTGCATCTCACTAGAAATATCCTATCACTGATGCCCCTTTGCAGTTGCATCTCACTAGAAAAATCCTAGTTGGCATGATTGGCCTGACCAAACACAAAATGATTAACAAGATTAACCTTTTGAGAGAGATAGTTCGTGCAATTACTAAGGCAACCACAACCATCGATTGGACCACTATGGTCATGACCACCATAGCCAAGAGGAATGTCACCTTTTTGACACAATCAATCCTAAGTGATTATTGCATAGTTTGACCATGAAATTGACAAAATCTTTGCAGCCATTAAAGATAGAGTACTTTCGATAGCCGGTGCCACTCCTTTTGAGGAGTCCCAACCACTCCAGAGCTTGCTTCACCATAATGAGAGTGAACATGAGTCAAAGAATTGTAGGGTCTAGAAAATGATCTTGAGAAGCTACCAGAGAAGGTTAACTTGAAGCAGTTCCTAACATGCTCAACAAAACCTTCAATCAAAGATAATAATGTTGACCATCCCGCACAACTAGAAGAGCGACTACTAACACCCCCCACCAAGAGGCAAGATTTGAATTATGAAGTGGTTTGGTGCATAATTAGGTGCACTAGTTCAAAGGTCAGCTACCGTCATTACCTTTGATAACTTGACTCGTGTAATGTATATCTAACCCACTCGTCTCCAATTTTCACTTTTCCTTTCATAGCATTGGCCCTCCTTGCAAATCGAAACATCTATAACAACACAATCATTGTCCAAAAGATCATCAATAGTTATAAAGTATTTCAAATCTCAAATGATACGGGTAGCTCTATGAACATGATGTTTCAGCATCTTCTCAACCACATGAGGTCAGACACGTAGAATTTATAAGCATATGAAGGAAAACTGGTCAAATTATCTCAGGAAGTCTAGCTGCCAGAAGTGGTGGACACACTTTAAGTCCCTTAACAGATTTTCAAGTTCCTCGACAATCATAGAAAGAAACTAGATATGGCTTCAATCTCTCTAAGAAACTGGATATGGCTTCAATTGTCATTTTGTATAGCTTCAATCTCTCTAAGAAACTAGATATGGCTTCCTTGACAATCATAGAAAGTAATTGGATATGGCTTCAATCTCTCTAAGAATGCTATCAGCTGGAAGTCTTATCTTCACCCTACAATTCTTTTGTCTACAAAATTAAAATATGTGGTACTTTCTTAAGTTATCAAGAAAATTGTTTGGTTGAGGGGCGGCTTAGTAGAAGACTCGGGTTTGCACCAAAATAGCTTGAGATTTTCCATGAAAATCGTAGTGTTATTTACTTAGCCACACACAGATATATTATAAATAAACATATTGATATTTATTGCCTTCTGATTAGAGAAAAGGTTGAAGATAATGACGTTCCAATTCATAAGATCTGTACATAGTACAATCCTTTTAAAAAAGCTTGTAAGATGCAAATTATTCTCAATTTTAGACAATTCTTGAATTTGATTAGTTTCTACAGCAAATGATGCCCTACAAGACTTTGAGTGAGGAGGTTCTGGAGATTTGAGCAAATTTGGCAATTCCTTTTGTTGTCTGATGATACAAAGGATTTGATATTAGGGCAAGAAATTAATCTGTTATATCAAATTGAATTAGAAGGGCAGTCTCATAATTATCTCAAACCCTAATCTTATTTCTATTCAAAAATTAACCAAGAGTAAGTAGTATTTGAGTAGGTCAAGTATACGATTTCTTCATGAGATGAGGGTGTAACTTCTTCTGAGTGGCTGTTAGAGATACGAAGTGCTAGGGATCAAGAGGTCAGTCCAAAGATGAAGATGAGGAAGAGGGTTTTATGCATCAACTTACTATCTTGGATATTTGTAAGAGAAATTATTATTTTTTCTTTGGCTTTCTCTTTGAGAATGGTTACTCTAAATTTGTGAGATGTTCTCCATCATCCACATTAGTAATGTGAAAAAAATAATTTCATATGTTTTATAATCTTCTCACTTTTTACCCATTCATGCTTTGGATGTTGTAATGATTTGTGCCATGTCGACCTATGAATGTTAGTCAATCCTGACTGAACTTCACAAATCGTTTTATTATTGCCATACTTTAGTTATTATTTATATATGATAAAGGCATGTGTGGTGAATGCAAGTTTTGTTTATCCTAGGTAAAAATTGATTGCTCACTACGGTTCTTGCAAATGGATTTGGTCACTTACACTGCAAGAGTTTGGATGTTCTGTTATATAGAGAATACCACATCTTGCGCATGAAGCACATAGACATGAATGGAATTGACACATTCTCTTGTACTTGATTCCATTTTAGTTTGTTAATTCAAAGTTTAAGAATATAGCAGAATAGAAAATGCTACTCAGTTGGAATGAAAACAAATTTGGTGTGACAATCAGTCAAGTGAATGTCAATCAGCTGAGATGAGGACTGCTTGAAGAATAACAAGAGGAACCACAATAACACTCATTATTGACACCTATATACCTCCAAACCCCGCAGTGCACCATATATTGTATTTGCCTGCAAAGAAATAAACATTAAGGTGATAAGTCATGCATTAAAAATATAGTAGCAACATGTACACTCTTGCTGAAAGAATCAAAATTCAAATACGTGAAATTATGCAAAATATTTCAAAAAGGAGACTATACATTTATACATTCCTTAAATTTCTTAACTTTCATAAAAAATGTGGATTAAAAAAAAATATTTTTGATATTTTAAACTTGTTTAGGAAATCAGCTTTACCTTTAAGAAGTGACAAAAGAAAATATTTTAGAGAACTGATGGATTCTGCACTCGTAGTTAGCCACACAAATCAGAAACTTGTATAGTAGTGAATTTGCACTAAAAAGAATATCTACAGCCCAAATTCAAATAATTAAAAGGATAGACAGAATATAATGTGTCATGGAACAAAGGGAGGATGGCCAGGGCTAATTAAATTCCCAAATGCTACAATCCAGGGAACTGACATTTTACTTAAATCAATCGTGGAAGGAAACATCCAAGATGCATTGGAAAATTTTCCACAAAAAAAAAAAAAAAATGAGGTCACAAATAGTATTAGATCAGAAGACATCTAAATTAAAAGCAAGAATACTGGCATCCAAAATTCATCAGAATCACAAATAGCACTATTTTATTAATCAATCGTGCCGAAATCATAATTTAAATGCCCAATAAAACTCTTCATACCTCAATTGAAACCCCACCAACTATCGATAACCTCCCTCCTCCACCTCCTTCGCTACCATCAGATACATAAAGTGTATAACTTTCGTCCACACCAAGTTGGAGCTGTAAACAACCAAAATAAAAAACCATTAAACCCTCGGGACTGTTTGGCTACAAGTAGGATTTTAGTAAAACCTGAAGTCCAGATTTAGTAAATCTTCATAGAATTTAAACATGAAAACTATATGATATCGCAACTGACTACTTATCTCAAATCTAGAAATTTTGCTTGACTATTTGTTTGAACATGTATTCAAAACAGAGTAAAAACAATGAACAGAGTCAACAAATCCTTCCAGTCGAAAAACAACCGTATCGTTATCCGAAGCAACGATGACGGTCAGCTTGGAGACGTCGTGCTCCCCCAAAGCATACCCCGACTGCTGCTTGAAAACCAAATTCCTATACCTCTCGAACGCTTCCAGCACGATGGGGGAACTCCCACCGGGTCCCTGAACATCGACGGTAATATCCGGATCAACGGATAGCGTAAGATTACCGGAGGTGAACTGCTTCGGCAGCGGCCAGATGTTGGTTAGGGATTCATCGAAGTGGACGGTGGCGCGGCGGGTTCCTAGGGTTTTCTTGCCGCCGATCGGGAGGAAGACGGCTGAAAGGATCAAGGGGAGATAGAGGCAAGTCAATATTTTGAAGGGCATTTGCATGGCGGAAGAGGAATTCGGTGGACTACAGAGAGAACTGAGACGAAGACGAGAGTGAGCTGTGACATGAGTGGCCACAAGCACAGCCGTCATTTAGTACTCTACAATCATTGCTGGCAGCGGACCCGACATTGCCAACTGGCGAGGATCGGGAATCAGTGAAGATGATCGGATCCACTGCTCTGCCGGCTGGAAGATTCATGTAAGAAAGGGTTGAACGTACGACACCTGTTCTTTGGAGGGTTTTAATGGATAAGATTCGGTTCGCCTGACGTAGACAGGACGAGGACGAGGACGAGGACGCGATAGAGCTTGTGATTTGGAATCTTCAAATCAGCGTTAATTGCGGGCTAGAATTCGGATCTTAAAACAGTACGGGCATGAGCTTCGTATATATTTTTAGTAGGTTTATTTGTAATAAAAATTACCCGACCGCTTAACATATGAACTATAACTATTATTTATTTATTTATTTTTGGAACGGGATATTCACCGATTACTATCTGCAAAAGAGCGTTTGGTTGCGTGATTAATCATCAGCTAACTTCGAAGAGACACTCATCCCAAAAACTAGGGCTGTCAAAATCGGGTCTGGTCCAAACAGAAATTGACCCGACACTGTTCAACCCGACCTGTTTTTGCAAACGGGTCGGTTTTTCGAACCGGAACCCGACCCGCTTCGGGTCCGAGTCAACCTGAACCCGATCTTATTCTGATATATTTTATTAATTTTTTTTATTTAATTCAATTTATTTAAATCTAAATCAAATTAAGGTAAGATTTACTTTAATTAATTTAAAATAAATCAAGATTAATTTAATTTGAGCAATAATGTTTATAATTTTTTGAAATATCATTTATTTCTTTCATAAAAATTTATTAAAACCCTCCTAAATTAATTAAAAACGGGTCAAATCGGGTTGATTTTGGGTTTTCGGGTCAACGCGAACCTGACCCGGTTTTACAAACAGGTTGAAATCCCTAACCCGAACCCGACTCGGTTTGGGTTGACCCGAACTCGAAATTTTCATGTGGTTTCGGGTCTGGTTTTCGAGTCGGATCAAATATTGACACCCTTACAAAAAACCTCCTAGCCCGCACTTGATTGAGTACAACTTAAGAGGCGCTGGCGCTCGAGTAGCTACAAACAGGAATTAGGGTGTTCCCAACCATACTCGCCCGCCAACCAAGTTAAGCAACGGTGGGAAACAATAACTAATTTTAATAGAAAGATATCAAAATAATCCCCGATTTATTGTGTATAACTAATTTAGTCATAATATATCACATTGGCCCAATTTAACTATTGATTATACAAAATTGATCCAAAATAATCTCTTATATTATAATTATGTATAAAATTGATCTGAATTTGATGCGGCGCATTTTGTGCTTGAGGTGTTCCTTATGACACCTTATCTAGTTTGTTAGAATGAGCTTCTAGAATGCTCTTTTTTACTTTATAAATAGCAGGTTTTGTAATAGGAAAGACATTGAATGATATTATCTCCTTTTAAAAGCTTTGAAAGCTTCTCCTTCTTCTTCCATGGATTGGGAAAACCCAAATCCTTCTTGCAGGTCGCATCTTCCGATGATCCACTACATCAGTTGGTATCAGGGCCCGGAGCTTGTGAAGATCGATGGACTACGGAAGAAGGTCGGCTATCGACGATGATCGAAGCTGCAAAACAAGATTGGCGGTCGACGACGATCGACGCCAAGAAAGGTGGGCTGTCAACGATGATCGAAGCCGGATCGCCTTCTATCAAGCTCAATCGAAGGAATCGCTCGATCAGGTAGACAGAAACCTTGATAGGATTCGTGAAAACCTTCGGGCAATAAGGAAGATGAGAATGTCGTCGGCAACCATACCGAGGTATTCTTCTTCTTCGATCTCCTCGTCCGCTTCACGCAGATGCCATCCGTCCCGCCATACTCCCCCGGACGTTGATGATTACCCTCGGCTCGAACTCCCTCTCCGATGGTGTGACCCGCCGCCGGAGTATCCGCCGCTCAAGCTTCCGCTGAGATGGCACGATCCGCCTCCACAGATTACTCCCGCATCCGACTCCGTTCATCTCCAACGCAGACCTGCCCGCGCAAGACCAGTCGCCCTCGAAGGTCCAGCGATCGAGTCTGGCCCTCTACCTGCAGCATGGCCTTCCGCGTGTAACACCTGCACGCCTTACTTGCACGAGTCCGACGCCTCTTCTCATTTCACTGGACCGCTTCCAGCTCCTCTCAATCCCTCCACTACCCATCCTCAATTACCGCCGGCTCAGACGGAGCCTCATCTCAAAGCCGCCGCTCCTTTGCCGCCGACAGCAGCCGACCAGACCCCCGCCGACCAGCTTCCCGCACCCTCAGCCGCCGATTCGCCGAAGCGACGCGTGCGTGACTTCGCTTGGCGCTTGGCGCTTGCCTGAACAGCCTCCCGCACACCTCGCGTCGGTCTCTGGCGACTCCGCTCCTTGGCAGCGCCTGTCTAGCGATCTCGCTCAAACTGTTGAGCTCGAACTATCCTGATCAGATTTGCTCGCTTCTACAATCAATCCACAACCCGTCGCCTGCTGTTTACACGGGGGACCTACGGCTTTTGCGGCGCTCCACGCGACCGGATCATGGCCGCCAATGCATGGACCAGTACCAGGCCGCAAGAGACAACTCCGGCGCCCCCAAACCCGTTTTCACCTTCAGCTCTGCCCGCCGCATTTTCTCCCCAGCAAGAGTCCACATCTTGCGTCCAAACTGATCTCCCACGCCCCGACAAGACCGACTATGTGCAGCCGACAACTTCCGACAGCGAGTGCAGTTTCGAAGATGGAATGGAGCAATCGGAAGCCCATATAGATTCGAATGGGGATATGGACGATGACGAAGATTCCAGCTCGGACTTGCTGGACCGTGAGACAAATGCTGATCATGGCCTAACACCGAACGAACACATTTCCTCACCGTGGAGGATAAATGAAGAAGAGAAAAGTAAGATATCGCGTTTTGAATTTTCTGTGCATGAGAATGTAGAGAAGAAAAATACCCATTCCATCCCATCTATTTCTTTTGATGATTTATTTAGTGAAAAAACTGACATAAATCAAAAGAAGGATCAGGAGAACTCTTTTAATATGGACTGTCAGCAGGTCAACATGAATGCTTCTCTGTTTGGAAGCTTAATGAAGACAAAAGTTAATATAGATCAGGTTTCAACCATGTAATACGGTGAAACATCACTTTTCTCGGTTTCAAAGTTCCCTGGAGACTTAATGAAGTTTAAGATTGAAACTTCTGAGAACGATGAGCAAGCAACAAGATGTTTTTATAATGGGCAGTGGTGATGGGGATGTTTATACTTCAGGTGTGCAAAGGTCCGATCAAAATTTTACTGTCAAAGTCTATCCAGTGGAATGCTCTCAAACTGTTCGACGAAATGTCACCGAAGGATCTAATACTAAATTTGTTGAGCTAGAAATCCCTATGGCAAGCCTTGTTTTCTGCGCATCTTCTGTTAGACCAAGCATTTCTTGCGGAGATTCACTTGGTATCAAGAGAGCATATCTTAGTGCATTGCTTCAACAACAGCAACAGTTTAGAATGCCATTTCTTGACAATGAGAGAAGACAGCCATCCCTTCCTTCTGTTATTGTCATTGGTGCAGGATTTGCAGGCTTTAACACCGCCCGTGCTCTCAAGAACGCATCCTTTCAGGTGGTTGTTTTGGGATATGGGGATAGAGTTGGTGGTCATGTGCACACTGATTACTCTTTTGGATTTCCTGTTGACATGGGTGCATCCTGGTTGCACGGTGTCTACAATGAAAATCCATTGGCACCTTTGATTGGAAGACTTGGGCCTCCCCTTTATCGCACCAGCAATGACAATTCTGTATTATTTGATCATGACATTGAGAGCTATGCTCTCTTTGATACTGATGGAAATCAAGTCCCTCAAGAGCTTGTCAAAAAAGTTGGTGAGTTATTTGAGAGAATATTGGAAGATGCAAATGATGAGAACAAAATCTTCGATCCGGGAATCTGTCTTCTACAACAATCTCTTTTTCAATAATGCGTCTCGACGGAGTCGAGCCTTTTTACGCTAGGGGAGAATGATGCGGTGCATTTTATGCTTGAGGTGTTCCCTAGGACACCTTATCTAGTTTGTTAGAATGAGCTTCTAGAATGCTCTTTTTACTTTATAAATAGCAGGTTTTGTAATAGGAAAGGCATTGAATGATATTATCCCCTTTTAAAAGCTTTGAAAGCTTCTCCTTCTTCTTCCCTGGATTGGGAAAACCCAAATCCTTCTTACAGGTCGCATCTTCCGACGATCCACTACATCAGAATTTAGTCACTTGATTATACAAAATTGATTTCAATTTAGTCCCAAAGAAACCATTTTGAATCAATTTTGTATAATTGGTAGACTAATTGGAGTAAAGTTATATTTTGGGATTAAAATGGTCATATATGAATAGTCGGTGCCTGGTGGACTAATTTGAAATTTAACCCTTAATTTTAATAATAATATCTCATTCATGTATATATATATATATATCTGTGTGTGTGTATAAATATATACTTTTAATATATATATAAAGATTAAAAGTTTTAATATATTTATTAAAAATTTAAAACAATTATATGAATTATAAATACTCCTAGTGGCAATATAAATACTACAAAAATAATTAATTTTTTTCATAAATTCTCTATTAATGTTACATGTAATAATTTTAAAAATATCCTGATAGGTAATATATATATATATATATATGCCCATATATTAGGATAAGGAAATTTATGAGGAAGCATAATGTTTTTATAATTTTATTAAGCATTTTATTAGAAGTACATGTTCAAGAACTTAAGATAAATAAATAGAAAGTGTAGTGTATAGGTGTTTACTTATGGGCTTATTGAAATTTTGCATCTTATCACAAATGTATAGTTATATTATATATTCAAAAAAAGACCATATTTATTAAGCTTATGGGCATATGCATTGTATCACAAGTAACAGTCCTCATCCAGTTGAAAAATTCGATATAAAACATGTGATACAAGAATCATTTCTTCCTCATAGTTGAAGAAGATGGAATTGTTTGAGAAAAATTATCTAAATTTCCCTTGGAGACACCCAGAAATAGGGTTTGATTTCTGTTATATGAATTAAAAAAATCTGATATTCATAGTCAAATAGTTAATA